GAAACAAAATGTAGCATCTTCTGTCAGCAGCTGTTTTTCAAGGAAAATGTGATTCAGTATGAAAGGCTAATTTAGTAGAGGAGAGAGGGTGAGAAATGATCTGAGAAAAGAGCTGCCCAGAAGTCCCTGGGTAGGGCACACAGTTTTGGTAAAGGGGAAATAAGGAGAAGAGTGAAGGTAGATGGTCAAGGAGTGAGTGAGTGTAATGTTACTGGAGGAATTTCCCAAGTGGGGCCATGAGAAGCTGGAGGCACCACAAACTCATCACCCCCTCTGTTGACAGGTGTCTACTCAGTCACTTCTCCCTGGCCTTACTCTTTTGAAGAAGAAATTGTGTACCATTTCCTCCTCCTTCCACTGGACCTTGCCTTTTCTATCAGCACAAAATGCTACAGATAAAACATTCTTTCTTGCCTCCCTTGCCACAGCATTAAAGATATGAGTTGGCTCACATGATCATCAATGGTATGTTCATCTTATAACTGAATAGAATCTATCCCTTTCCAAGGGGTCATAAGACCCTTGGAAAATTAAATGGAGCCACAAGAAAGGGAATTCTTGAGGTTAGGGTTTTTTGGGGTTTTGTTTGCTTTGTTTTTTGTTTTTTTATTTATTTATTTAGAGACGGAGTCTCACTCTGTCACCCAGGCTGGAGTGCAGTAGCGCAATCTTGGCTCACTGCAACCTCCACCTCCCAAGTTCAAGCGATTCTCCTGCCTCAGCCTCCTGAGTAGCTGGAATTACAGGCACCCACCACTACACCCAGCTATTTTTTTGTATTGTTAGTAGAGACGGGATTTCACCATGTTGCCAGGCTGGTCTCGAACTCCTCACCTCGTGATTCGCCCACCTCGGCCTCCCAAGGTGCTGGGATTACAGGCGTGAGCTACCGTGCCTGGCCATATCTTTATATTTTTAGGCAGCACAGTATGGTGGTTAGGAGCTCAGAATCTGAAGCCAAGTGACTCAGCTTTGCCACTTTCTCACAGCATGACCCTACACAAGTGCCTTAATCTCTCCCTGCCCCATTTTCTCATCTGTAAAATTGGATAACTTGAGTTGTTCTCAGAATTACATGAGTTAATATACATAAAGCACCCAGAAAATGGCATACGTGATAAGCACTCTGGGGGTGTACTCCTATTAGTACTAACACTATTATTATTAGCTTTCCACAGCTCTCCTATTGCCTTCTGAATCTAAACCTATTTTCCTCCCAGGTTCTGCCCCTCTTTATATCCTTCTTCCTCTTCTTTTCCATAAATGTTCCATCATCCACCCAATCCTTCCACTTTAGGTTCTTCTAAGCTTTCTTCAGGTCCTCTTTTCCTAATCTTTCCAGATTTATTTCCTAAGGGAAGGTAATTATTCTTAAAATCCTCCTGTGGATAACAAACACAGCCATCCATTAAAAACCCTAACCTTGACTAGGCACGGTGGCTCATACCTGTGATCCCAGCACTTTGGGAGGCTGAGGTGGGCAGATCACCTGAGGTCAGCAGTTCAAGACCAGCCTGGCCAACGTGGCAAAACCCTGTCTCTACTCAAAACACAAAAATTAGCCAGGTGTGGTGGCATGTGCCAGTAGTCCAGCTGCTTGGGAGGCTGAAGCAGGAGAATTGCTTGAACCCAGGAGGTGGAGGTTGCAGTGAGCCAAGATCGTACCACTGCACTCCAGCCTGGGCGACACAGTGAGATTCTGTCTCAAAAACAAAAAACAAAGCAAACAAAACCCCAAAAAACCCTAACCTCAAGAATTCCCTTTCTTGTGGCTCCATTTAATTTTCCAAGGGTCTTATGATCCCTTGGAAAGGGATAGATTCTATTCAGTTATAAGATGAACATACCATTGATGATCATGTGAGCCAACTCATCAATGGGCTGCTGCGAAAGCAATACAAAGGCACCAGTGATGGGACCACAGGAGAGGCCAAAGGAAGCAGAGCTCACCTGTGATCCAGCTGCAAGAAGTGCAGCTGCCATCTCCCAGTCTCCAGTGTTCCCCTCCTGGGGAATTGCAGGAACCCAGGGAGCAGACTGAGCTGATGAGGAGAGAGAAGAAACATTAGAGAATAACTATCTACCCTTTCTCAATAGGGCCTGGGCCCCATTTTAGAGAGGCTTAAGGGCCACAGCTTCTGTATCTATGCCCGCTGGTAAAACTCAAATGCGTAAATGTAGATGAGAAGGCCATCACTCAAAATGTTCTGAAAGGGTATCAGATGGCTTTTAGTTAGACTAGCTATAGTTTGAATTTACAGTACTTGAATGTAATTTTCATCTAGTAAAGTGCAGCTTACTGAGTGAGTTATCCAACAGTAATCAGGTTGCTGTCATTTCCTTCATCTCCCTCATTCAGTATCACTAATTATGCATTTGTATGTGGAGGGAGTAATTATGAAGAAACAAGAGAAGCCCAGTTGCATGGTTTGCTGAATTCAGAAGCCTATTTTGTACCTGTGACCAGGTCTCAAAAAGAATGGACTGGTCCTGGTAAAGTTTATGCTATTTAGTCCATGGCAATTTGGAGATTTTTAGCCCTACTTCTGGAACAAATATTAGGAGACTACGCACTGTGCTTCCCACACACTGTGGGCTCTCACCCTTCTCCTGAAGGGACTGTGGCTCCTCTTCAAGGTCGCAGCACAGGTGCTCCAGAGGCCCTGGTGCTGTTCTCCATGGCCCCTCTTCCTTGCTTCCCCTTTCCACCTGGGGCTCTGCTCCATCCAGCTGTACATTGATTGATTCCCATCCTGTCCCCAGAGCTGCTGTCTGTTCTGAAAGCATTTTTGCTGCAGACCCAAATTGTGACCTGGAACAAATTCATATCAGCAATGCCCATGAAAATGGGAAAAGAGTGATATTCCTAAGGGAGTTATGAAGAACAGGCCCAGGGATAATAGATGAAACTAGATAGGAGGAGCTTGCTGGAAGATGAACTTTAAAAGCTTGATGTGTTCCAATCAACTGAGCCTGCACCAAGCTTCCTGGAGGAACTAAGAAATTGGCAGGTGCTATGTAGCAAAGCCACTAACTGGTATTTTGTGGACCTCATGATGGAAACAGAATATACCTGAAGATTAGAAGAAGTTCATTTAAAAAAAAAGAACTGTCCCAGAAATTCAAAGGCTATCCATTTAATTTCAAGCACATGAAGTACAGGAAAGTAAGCAGTTTGGAAACATACAGGAAGAAATACACATAGACCTGCACTCAACAAGATGGATGTAATCACACAGAAGATTTTCTGCCACAAATCACAGTCTCATCAGTTTAGAATGAAATGATTACTATAGGTAGAAGTCCCAACCAAGGGGCGTATTTGTATCATGAGCACACACCTCTTTCATGAGGCTGAGCCAAAAGGTACCTCACTTGGGACAAGCCTCAACAAAAAGGCAATGAGAACTGGTAGTAAATACGGTAGAAAAACTAATAACTTGGAAAGCAGGTGTAAGACTCCAAAGTAACCCTAACAAGTAAGAGAAATTGTTGGTCAGTGAGGAGCTGAAGTTTAATCAGGAAAAGTAAAAAGGAACAGAAAGAGTTTGAACCAGAGCTGGAAAAGGGGGAAGAAGTACTGCTAACATGACCCAGATGAACAAACCTGTTTGTCAGGCACCAGTCAGATCTCGTTAGAAAAATATATTCAGTTTGAAAGAAGCATATGGAGAAGCCAGGGTGTGTCCATCAGAAGACATGAAAGTCAAGAAAGGGATGGGAAATACAGCCACTGGGAAAGTTAAAAATGTCGGATGTAGTTTTTTCGGTCTGGAGAAGGCTGATGAATGATGTTACTAATGAATAAAAACAGAGGTCCCTTCTATCTCTACATAGGTCAAACAGAAAAAATGGGTCTTGATTGCAAGCGAAGAGATTTAGGTTATTGTTATTTTTTAATTATTAATAATCCTGCAGTGTACAAAACCAGATAGTGGGCTCTTCTTTTTCTTTGGACATCTTAAGAGCAGGATAGATCACACTTCTGTTGTGATAGGGCTTTATGGCAGAGAAATAATCTGAGATCTGAGAATCTCTTTCTGCTTGGCAACATATTTTGGGTATTCTTATTCAATAACCAAACACTCGAGTCCGTGAAAGACTTCCAAGAGCAGTCAGAAACTTGGTAACTATCCTGGCTTACTTACATCCTTTTAATAACATTTGCAAGAACCTTGAAGGCCAGGGTAGGTAATGACAGATGTCAAGTCATCTATTTTCTTGCCTATTTGTCTTTGACAAAAGAGGTAGGTGGGAACCCTAAGCCAATGCACAGGAAAAACAAATTCCCCTTTCATCTCAAAAGTCCAAAGATGGCTCAGGGCCTCATGGGAGCACCCTGGAGGTTTCCTTTTCAGAGACTTTTCATGAGAAAGGAAAATTTTTGCTAAAGTAATGAAGGGAAACTTCCATTTTAGCTCTCTTCTCTGAATTCCAGCTCTGTATCCACTTTTAACACACAGGGCACTAATTCCCCCTCTTCATCCCATCTTTCTGGTTCTCTAGACCCTGTGCAAATCCTCCCTGAAGGCTTTACCTCTAGCTACATATCTGGACACTTGTCTCAAACCCTTTCTCCATCTCCCCCAGGTAGCAGAGTCTCTTAATAGGAAGCCTCTTTCTGTAGAGCCCACTGGGCCAGCTGTTAGCCTTTCTATACCACTGATAGAAATCCGTGGAAGTGCTAGCAAAAATCTCAGCAAAGGATGGGATGGGTACCTGTCCTCAGCCTGCATTTCCTAAGATGTTCACGCAGAGCCAGCACCTGGGCGGTTAAGGTGGTAGCCCTAACCTCGTTTCTCCTGGTTCCAGGATGATCCCATGCCCACTGGAGTCTGCGTTCTAGGGCTTTCATTTCCCCCTTTTCTTCACACATACGGGTAGCAAGGGACCTGCAAAAGGAAGTTTTTGCAGCCAGTGCTGATGAACAGAAAAGGGGCCATGTTATAAAAATGAGTAGCCCAAGGGCACACGGACGAGTTGTGCTCCGTCCATCAGAGAACCCTGGCCCCTGCCACGGGTGGGGCATGGGCGGGACGGGAGCCTGCTCAGGGGTAAGGTTGCTTCTTCCCTCCTTCTTGTCACAGTGCCCCTGGAAAGGGTCAGATTTCAGAGAATCCGAGCAAGGCAGAAGTGGAGCAGGGGAAGTGAGGTCAGAAAACAGGTTTCCCATTAGCTGGGGCATGAGCAAGTGAAGAGAAAGGGAGCCACGGGGTAACCTGTGCGCGAGTGACAGCGGCGGAAGCCCGCAGGGCCTGACAGCTGCGATGGGCACGGGGAGACAGGGCGAGGGGCGGGCACAGAATGTCAGCGGGGCAGACCCCCGGGAAAGGCAGCAACCCGGAAGCCGCGCCGATCCTCCTCCCCGCCCCCATGGGTGACCGAGCCCCCACCCGCCGCCCCGGGAAGCCAGGAGTCCCTCCCTCCAGCCGCAGCTCCTTCCAGCCCGGCTCCACTCACCCCCGGTCGGCTTGGCCCGCGGCCCGGTGCCTCCCTCCCGGGCGCCGCCTGCCCCTCCCCTCCGCCCTCCGCTTGCGTCTGGGAGCCGGCGGCCGGCGGAGCCAGAGACAGGCGGAGACGGCGGCCCGGCGGGCGCGGGCGGGGCGGGCACAGGAAATCCCCGCCCGCTTCCGGGGCTCGGCGGCGGCGGAGGCGCGGGGAGTGGGAGGGAGGGGCGTGGGAGGGAGACGCGTGGGAGCGGGGAGGGGCTGCGGCTGAGGCGCCCCCGAATTGGCCGAACCCGGGACCTCCGCGCCCCCTGCCTTGGGGAGGGTACGGCCCGAGGCGCTTGGAGGGCGGTGGGCACCGGGATAGCAGCCTGCCGTGGCCACTTGCCCGCACTCTTGCCAGACTGACCATTTTCCGCTCTGGCTACGGGGCCTCCCACGGAGTTGTGTCCTCAGGGGTTCATCAGTTACCTGGAATTGCATAACGGCCCGATACAGGCCAGACCGAGGCCGAGAGTGGTTTCTCCAGACAAGAGTCTGGAATTCCTCAAGTAGCTTACTCTCTAGTTTTCACAATAGGATAAAGGGCTTGAGAGACACTGAAGAGGAGTCACTCATTCTGCCTAAGGGGAAGTCAGGTTGCTATTTGAAGTAGGCCTTGCGGCTGCTGTCCAATTTGCGGGAGCCGTAGCCGCAGGTGACACGTGAGCTCTCCAAATGTGGCTGGTCTGAACAGAGATGTGTTCGAAGATTTAGAAGATTTAATTTAAAAACTGATATTTTGGGTATATTGGGTTAAATATATTAAAATTAATTTCACTTGGTTTTAACTTTTTAAATGTGGCTACAAATAGTTTTAAAATTACAAATATGGCTTGCATTATATTTCTGTTGGATAGTGCTACCTTGGAGCATTAAGATGGATTTGACTGGAAAAGATGAGAAGGGCCTACAAACAGTGAGTAAACCCATTACTGTTAGAATCTGTTTATAACTTACAAGTCACATTCACATTCCTTATTTCATCATTACAACAATTTTGAAAAATTTTATTTAGTAGACTTAAAAAATAAGTGACTCACTTAAGGTCATATGTGACAACCATTCCTTTAATACATATTTATTTTCTACATGCGCCAGACACTGTAACTAAATGCGGGAAATTAAAGAAAGGATTCACAGTCTGGGGAACCACACGTCAACAAATATTTGCAATAAAACATAGTAGATGCTAAAACAGAGGAATGTACGCCGCACTTGGAGCAAAGAGAAGTGAGCATGTATGTGACGGAGGTCAGAGAAGGCCTCCCTCTGACAGAAATCGTGAGGCAGAGAAGAGTTGGGAGGGCTCTGTAGTGAAAAAGAGGAAAATGCAGTAGACACGCAGTTGGGAAGGGTATAGAGCATATTCTAGGAGCAGATCATGGGGGACGTGGGGGGAGTAGTAGAGCCAGAATTTTTATCCCGGGTCTGGAACTAAGTCCAGGGATTCTTTTCACTTATGCTACCACTGGTGATAAATATAAGATGTGTTAATTGGGGTAGGCTAGCAAAACCAGTATCTCGGACCTTGACTCCATAAAGGCTTATGTTCATACAAGTCACAGTGTGGTAACAAGTTGGTTGGGGCCAGAGGGTGGGGTCTGTACTTCTTGCATTCATTGAAGGACCAGGCTTCTTGCATTTGGTGGTTCTACCATGCCCTGAGGCCTTGGTAATGTAGCCAAATCTGTGGCCCTCAGATAAGGGAGGCTGGCTGTGGTTAACTTGTCAGAGATATTAGGGGCCAGTCCTGGAAGTGCTGTGTATCATTTTCACCCCAATGCCTTAGCGGGAATTTATGCGCATGGTTACATGGCCCCACCCAGCAGGGTGGCTGGGAATAAAGTATGTGTGCCTCCTAGAAAAGGAAATGGGGGCTGGTGGACACAGCCTTGCCTCTGTCACGCAGAGTTAAATTGAACATAACCAAGTACCTAAACCTGACTTTACCTGAAAAGAATGTTTGGAAAGAACCGATAGATATTATAATAGCTCAAACTCTCCTCGACTGTTTTGGGAAACAAATCAGTGTGAGATTGTTTCCTTAAAACAAAACAAAACAAAAAAAAGGCCAGGCGCAGTGGCTCACGCCTGTAATTCCAGCACTTTGGGAGGTCGTGGCGGGCGGATCTCGAGGTCAGGAGTTCAAAACCAGCCCGGCCAACATAGTGAAACCCCGTCTCTACTAAAAATACAAAAATTAGCTGGGCATGGTGGTACGTGCCTGTAGTCCCAGCTACTCGGGAGGCTGAGGCAGGAGAATCACCTGAACCCAGGAGGTGGAAGTTGCAGTGAGCGGAAATCGTGCCATTGTACTCCAGCTTGGGCAGCAGAGTGAGACTTCGTCTCAAAAAAAAAAAAAAGAGGCTAAATGTATACCATTTCTTTATATCAGAATCTTTTCTTTTTAAAAATAACTTGTAATTTTAAATTTGTGTAGTTACATAATAGGTGAATGTCTTTATGGGGTACACGAGATATTTTGATGCAGGTATGCGATGCATGATAATCACATCATGGAAATCAGGTATCCATCCCCTCAAGCATTTATCCTTTGTGTCACAAACAATCCAATTATACTCTTTTAGTTACTTTAAAATGTACAGTTATTATTGACTATAGTCACCCTGTTGTTCTATTAAATACTAGGTCTTATTGATTCATTCAAACTATTTTTTGTACCCATTAACCATCCTCACTGTCCCCATTCCCCCATTACCCTTCCCAGCCCCTGGGAAGCATCCTTCTACTCTCTATCTCCAGGGTTTCAATTGTTTTGATTTTTAGATCCTCCAAATAAGTGAGAACTTGTGATGTTTGTCTTTCTGTGTCTGGCTTATTTCACTTAACATAATGACTTTCAGTTCCATCCATGTTGTTGCAAATGACAATATCTCATTCTTTTTTTATGGCTGAATAGTGCTCCATTGTGTATAAGTACCACTTATTCTTTTTTTTTTTTTTTTTTTTTATTATTATTATACTTTAGGTTCTAGGGTACATGTGCATAACGTGCAGGTTTGTTACATATGTATACTTGTGCCATGTTGGTGTGCTGCACCCATCAACTCATCAGCACCCATCAACTCGTCATTTACATCAGGTATAACTCCCAATGCAATCCCTCCCCCCTCCCCCCTCCCCATGATAGGCCCCGGTGTGTGATGTTCCCCTTCCCGAGTCCAAGTGATCTCATTGTTCAGTTCCCACCTATGAGTGAGAACATGCGGTGTTTGGTTTTCTGTTCTTGCGATAGTTTGCTAAGAATGATGGTTTCCATCTGCATCCATGTCCCTACAAAGGACACAAACTCATCCTTTTTTATGGCTGCATAGTATTCCATGGTGTATATGTGCCACATTTTCTTAATCCAGTCTGTCACTGATGGACATTTGGGTTGATTCCAAGTCTTTGCTATTGTGAATAGTGCCACAATAAACATACGTGTGCATGTGTCTTTATAGCAGCATGATTTATAATCCTTTGGGTATATACCCAGTAATGGGATGGCTGGGTCATATGAAGTACCACTTATTCTTTATTCATTCATCTGTTGATGGACACTTAAATTGCTTCCAAATCTTGGCTATGGTGAATAGAGCTGCAACAAACATGGGAATGCAGATATCTCTTTGATAAACTGATTTCCTTTCTTTTAGGTATATACCCAGCAGTGGGATTGCTGGATCATATGGGAGCTCAATATTTAGTTTTTTTGAGGAATCTCCAAACTGTTCTCCCTAGTAGTTATACTAATTTATATTCCCACTAGCAGTGTATGAGGGTTCCCTTTTTTCTACATCCTTACCAGCGTTTGTTATTGCCTGTCTTTTGAATATAAGCCTTTTTAACTGGAGTGAGATGATATTTCACTGGAGTTTTGATTTGCATTTCTCTGATGATCAGTAATATTGAGCACCTTCTCATACATCTGTTTTTCATTTGTGTGTATTCTTTTGAGAAATGTCTATTCAAATCTTTTGCCTATTTTTTAACCAGAGTATTAGATTTTTTTCCTATAGAGTTGCTTGAGATCCTTATATATTCTGGTTATTAATCCCTTATCAGATGAGTAGTTTGCAGATATTTTCTCCCATTCTGTGTGTTGTCTTTTCAATTTGTTGATTGCTTCTTTTGCTGTGCAGAAGCTTTTTAACTTGATGTGACCCCGTTTGTCCATTTTTGCTTTGGTTTTCAGTACTTGTACAGAACCTTGTCTTAAACATCACAAGGAATAAATGCAAAATGTCCTTATATTATGCTTTGGTGTGCCATCTCTTTAGTTGTCAATTAACAAACTCTGCAAGGTGTAGATCTGCATGGGTTCAGGGACATTAAGTGAGCCAACAGGCACAATCAGGAATTGAGCCCTAGTCTGACTTCTCACCGGGTGCACCTTTCACCAGAGTGGTACCTTACCTTTTACAGAAATTTTAAGGACAAGTACAAACTCCTATGCAATGTTACAGCACGAATTAATTAAATATGCATTGAGTAGCAGGCAGATGATTCCATCTTTTTCAGACTTTCTGATGGAGGAGTTTCAAGATCAGCTTTGAAGGTGAAATGTAGGAAGGGCATCCCATGTAGCATCAGAAGGCAGAAATGGACATGCTATGGCATGTTGTGGAATGAAGAACACACATGTGGGGGTGTCGGTCTAGAGTAGAGAAGAAACAGGGAAATTGATAGAACAGTGGATGAAGGTAGTGGATGAATAATTTTTTATTTGCTATATCAGGTGATAGGGAGTCGTTATATTTGTGTTTAAAAGGAAGTGATACACCTGATGGTCCTAATTATATCTTTGTAAGGAGACTTGGTGGTCCTGGGCTGCTCTGTTGATGGAATTCTGGTAACTGGAATGAGTCGGGCACACAGGTGGATTCTAATGTGTGGAAAACAGAGTTCCTTGGGACATAGCAGCATTCTTCCTGCAGCTGTTGGTCACAAGTAGATATAGAATATGACTGTGAGAGTGAGTGGCTGCAGTGGTGAACACAATCATTTAAGGTAAAATAAAGCCAAGGAACTGAGAGACTAGAGTGCTAGCAGGGATGGGGTTCAAAATATTTAACTACCACTACTAGCATGGCATGGACCTGTCAAAATAGACGTAGCCCATAATGCTGGTGCAGGGTCCTGCAGGTACCTTGTTGTGTTAGATGATTACTTTTTGTTTCTGAATTGTGAAGAGATCTGTTGAATCCTGATGAGGGGCTAGAGCATTAAGGCATGACATTGAAGAGGATTGACAGTGGCTATGAAAATATTTCAGTATTTTTGCAAGGAATACAATTATACTTGCACATACTCATATGCAGGAGATGCATTGTCCACGTGGATGTTGAAGTCACTAGGAATAATGAAGGCATTATGGAGAGAGGGATAGTAAGCCAGTTGATGGAGTCTTAAATGAAAGGTGACCAGGAGTATTGTAGGTAATAATAACAAGGAGGAGTGTGTGTGGAATAGTTTGATGGCGTGTGCTTCAGTGCAGCTGGACGTTATTTACAGAGGAAGGATGAAAATGGTACTTGAAGCAGCAATGAAGAGAAAAGAGAACATTTACTGCACTTGTAACTCTCGGTGATATAAAGCAATGGCTTTCAAATATATGTATATAGCTGGGTGCAGTGGTTCATGCCTGAAATCCTACTTATTTGGAAGGCTGAGGCAGGAGGATAGCTTGGGGCTAGGAACTTGAGACCAGCCTGAGCAACATAGCGAGACTCCACCTCTAAAGCAAATTAGCTGGACTTAATGGTGTGCACCTGCAGTTCTAATTACTTGGGCAGCTGAGGTGAGAGGATCACTTGAGCTCAGGAGTTCAAGGTTAGAATAAGCTACGATTGCACCATTGCATTCCAGCCTGAGCAGCTGAGCAAGACTTCGTGTCTAAAAATAAATAATTTTTAAAACCCACAAATATATGTGCATATATATGTGTGTTCAAAGTATATATTGTGATATACAGCAAGAAATACATTTATTTTTATTTTATTTTATTGAGGCAGAGTTTCGCTCTTGTTGCCCAGGCTGGACTGGAGTGCAGTGGCGTGAACTTGGCTCACTGCAACCTCTACCTCCCAGGTTCAAGTGATTCTCCTGCCTCAGCCTCCAAAGTAGCTGGGATTACAGGTGCGTGCCACCATGCCCAGCTAATTTTCTATTTTTAATAGAGACAGGGTTGACCATGTTGGTCAGGCTGGTCTTAAACTCCTGACCTCAGATGATCCACCTGCCTCATCCTCCCAAAGTGCTGGGATTACAGGTGTGAGCCACTGCACCCGGCCAAAAAATACATTTAGATTATGATCCAGCACACCCATCATTTATTTAATTGAAACAAAATTTTCATAAAACAATGTTTAACTACATACAGTATATGCTGAAGTTTTATGTTGTTACTTGATTTAAAGTTTTCTGTTAACTATCCACTAAATTAATTTCACAACTCACTAGTGGGTTGCAAGCCACCATTTGAAAAGCCTTTATTATATAGATTGTAGGATTTAAAAATTGCCACCTCTTTCGAGGGCTGAAAGGGAAGCGTGCTATTTCCATAAGAGAGAGCCAGGTTTCAGTTAGATAAAGGGGGTAAAATAAACATCCATCATAGAAGTTGAAGGATATAGGGAATTTTATGGATGACTGACCCTGAATTACATAGGTTACAGTGGAAGGAGTAAGGGGTTGTGCTGGGGTTGGAGCCTGATTCATGTTAGGCAATGTAGGCGACTCTAACAGGGTAAGAATTTATATGATGAGGAATGATCTGGAGGGTAAGGCTTCTTGTGTGAGTATGGGAAGCAAAGATCTAGGGCATGATGGGATTAGTAGTCATCTAGTAAGGTGGATAATTAGTTCTAATTATAGACTGCTCTCTCGGTCAGCTAATCAGTGGTGAGGTGAGGTGCAATGGTTGATTGGGCTGAGTAGAAGTTATATGGGTCATAGAATGAAGATGTCACTACAAGTGTGCTGAGCTCTGTTGGCCCTCTTTCAATCCTGTTGTGGACAGGTTAAGGCTACAGGAGGGGTATATTTCCAGAAGTACCAGAGCTCTGAGGGTGGGTACCTTACATCATACTTGGCAATGGGGTTGGTAGTGGGAGTGGTATCAAGGTTTAAGAGGTTCTGTGGCCTACCCTTTTAATTGCTACTGTTCTTGATATTGAGGGAGAGGGAATGAGTGGCCTTACCAGAGGGTAGGTAACAGTTTCTTGTGGACTCTTTATGTAGGAAAATTTTAATTAAAAAAAGCAGCACTAAATTAAGAAGTAGGCAGGAGTTGTGGTAGAAAGTTCAGGAGTTCGAGACCAGCCTGACCAACGTGGAGAAACTCCATCTCTACTAAAAATACAAAATTAGCCGGGCATGGTGGTGCATGCCTGTAATCCCAGCTACTCGGGAGGCTGAGGCAGGAGAATCACTTGAACCTTGGAGGCGGAGGTTGCGGTGAGCCAAGATCGTGCCATTGCACGCCAGCCTGGACAACAAGAGCAAAACTGTGTCTCACAAAAAAGAAAGAAAAAGAAAAGAAAAGAAATAGCACTAAGTTAAGAACCAAAGGCTTTGTTTTTGATCTTGGCTATGTCTCTGGGTGACAGATTAGATCCTTAACCTCATCTATCAAATAGATATGTCATTCTTCTTTTCCTTAAAAGCTGTTATGATGACCAAATTAAGAAAAAATAGGCCGGGTATGGTGGCTCACACCTATGATCCCAGCATTTTGGGAGGCCAGGGCAGGCAGATCACCTGAGGTCAGGAGTTCGAGACCAGCCTGGCCAACATAACGAAACCCTGTCTCTGCTAAAAATAAAAAAATTATCTGGGCTTGGTGGCAGGTGCCTGTAATCCCAGCTACTTGCAAGCTGAGGCAGGAGAATCACTTGAACCCAGGAGGTGAGATGTTACAGTGAGCCGCGATGGTGCCACTGTGCTCCAGCCTGGGTGACAGAGCAAGACTCTGTCTCAAAAAAAAAAAAAAAAAAAAAAAAAAGAAGAAGAAAGAAAAAAGAAAAAGTATAGGCATGTGGTATGAGTTTATAAAGCCCAATTCAAATGTAAGATGTTGGCAATGGGCATTACTTGGTAGAAATAATTTGTAGTCAGTGTAGATAGTGAACCCTAGGCAGCTGTCAGTGACAGGATTTAAAGATTCTTTTGATGGTGGGACACGACATAGAGACACTTGGATAGATTAAAGGCAGATCTCTTTGTTATGTATAGCTCTAAAGCAGAGAAGGTTGCCATGCAGGGCCACGTAGAGGGTTGCACCCAAGGACAAAGAAACTTCATGCTGGAGCTGCAGGAGGCTTATGTATGGCAAACAGGATGGCGTTAGCAAGGTATGTTGGGTTTCCCAGTGATTGGATATTTTGAATAATTCTGTGGCCTAAAGAAAGAGGGGGCTGGGCTGGGCACGGTGGCTCATGCCTGTAATCCCAGCACCAGCACTTTGGGAGCCCAAAGTGGGCAGATCACGAGGTCAGGAGAATGAGACCATCCTGGCTAACATGGTGAAACCCCGTCTCTACTAAAAATACAAAAAATTAGCTGGGCGTGGTGGTGGGTGCCTGTAGTCCCAGCTACTTGGGAGGCTGAGGCAGGAGAATGGTGTGAACCCAGGAGGCGGAGCTTGCAGTGAGCTGAGATTGCGCCACTGCACTCCAGCCTGGGCAACAGAGCAAGACTCCATCTCAAAAGAAAAAAAAAGAAAGAGGGGGCTGGTCTTGGGTGTTAAGGATCTGGGGACCTCTGGCAGATGGGTATTGTATATTTTAACTTAGGAGTGTTAGAGCCTGATAAGGGAAGTAGTTGGGCTAGGAGCTTGCTACACTGTTCTCAAGAGTAACTGAGAGTTCATGACATCAAGACTGGGTCAAGACAGCACTTGTGAAATATGTTATACTAGGACAGCTTCTAAGTGGTGTAATTTCAAATTGTCATTTTTTAAAATAGCGCAAAAACTTGCTCTAAGCAGACTTATTTGCTTCATCTTATATTTCATATAAGCATTTTGTTGAACACTGCATTTTAGTATGCTACAGAAAACGTACTCTTTAATTCTGTCATCTATGACTTAAAAATATTTTAAGTAGGCCATATTGTTGCGTCATTATAGACAAATACCTGGCACCATCTAGGACCCAGTGGCAGAAAGAGTTAGAAGCTGGGTTAAATTATGAGATCATAAATACTTATTGCATATAATGGTTGGAATGATAGTCTCAAAGTTGTTTTCCATATCCGTTTAGGATTATTTTCTTACTGTAGAGCTGTGGTAGTAGTTTTAAGATGTTCTCTAGTTGAGATAGGAAAAACCAAAGTGATTTTCCCTACTCTCTACTCTCAGTCACTCAGTGCAATACTTCTGACACCAGATTTGTAGGTTTTTTCCCTGCACACCAAGCATTTCTCAAGTGTATACCAGTGGTCATCCCCTAATTTGTGTTAGCAATGCTGGCACAATCTTCCAGGAGATAACATCAGATCCCACAGCTTAAGGGCTCAGTCCCATAAGACTGACTACTTTAGATGCCAATTGAAAGCTCCAAGTTTTGACCTGTGCTTCTGGCTGGCTATACATCTCCTCAAGAACAAAAATCTTTCTTCTTTAGAGATTATTTCTCTATTTCCCAAGCAGCAGAATCACGTATCTTTTTCTTTCCCTAAGACATACTTTTCCTTCTTTTTTTTTGGCCTCAACATCCTCTGCAGAGCTGTTTTTACTTCCTGGTTCACTATAGATGAGACTATAGATGAGAGGGTTCACCAAGGACGTGATCACACTGTACTGAACACAGACCACTTGCCCCAACACCGAGCCTGAAGTAGAGTCTGGGTGTCTGAAAAAAGCTATCCCATAGAATGAGAGAACCACAGTGAGATGGCAAGGGCATGCGGAGAAGGCTTTGCCTTGGCCCTCAGAGGAGCGGATGCTCAGTATGACAGATGTGATTCTAGAGTAAGAGAAGAAGGTTAGGGAAAGTGTCAGTAGCCCCCAGAATGCCCATGACACAGCTAGAAGAATCTCATTGACAGTGGGATCAATGTAGGACAGAGGGAAGAATGGAGGCAGCTTACAGCTAAAATGGGGATAATGTCAGACCTACAGAAATGTAACTTGTGGATGAAAAGACTGTACATCAAGGAAATCAGAAATCCCACTACCCAAGCAATGCTCACAATCCCCATACAGAGAGGTCTGTTCATGACCATGGTATAGACCACAGGGTGGCAGATGGTAGCGTAGTGATCACAGGCCATGGCAGAGAGCAGACAAGCTTCTGTTCCCCCAGAGAGAGTGAAAAAGAAACTCGGTGAGGCAGCCCCACATTGAGATGTTTTTCTTTTGAGAGGAAATTTTGTAGCATCTTGGGCACAGTAACTAGGAGTAGCTGAGATTCAGAAAGGACAGATGTCCAAGGAAGAAGTACATGGGTCTATGCAGGTGAGAATCAGCCCTGATCTCCAGGATCATTACCAGCTTCCCTGTCAAAGTCAGGAGATGAATCACCAGGATTAGCACAAAGAGCATGGTCTGGATCTCGGCATCACTGGAAAATTCCAGAAGGACAAACTCAGGACTAACATTGACATTTATTATGGTTGCTTCCCTCAAAAGAAATGAAGGGTTCTCTACTTGGCAGGGCGTTCATCTGAGTCATTCTCACTGAACAGGAGTTTTCTACTTAACAGATGAGTATATCTCTTACCTATGGCCCAAAATGGGAAACTTGGGATAAGGAAGTGTCATCTTAAATACAATCTCCTCACTTGCCCTTCTTTCCTACCTTCTAGCACTGTCTCTGCATGATCTTGAAGCCTTCACTCTATACCTCCATCACTCTTTAGTAAAAGTACCAAGTGCATACGAATCAGGTAGGTCCTGGAGTCAAAATGAGACAAACCGCCCCAGTGGCAAAGCCTGGAAAATCTTCTCTGGGTAAGCGTTGGGAGGCCTATGGGAAAATTATTCCTTCTCAGAATGGTAAGATCATAGACTCACACTATGTAAGGATATTTACATATTATACTTTAATCCCTTCATTTTACAAATGAAGAGAATGCATTGCCTATGGTCTCATAGCAAAGTGAGGACTAGGTTGGGACTAAAACCAGTCAAGGTTGAAAGTAGAACCAGGTGTTTCAGCTAGTCTTGTATGCGTCCAAGTGCATCATACTTCGTGGTTTTGAATTGTTAGAGCTGAGTCTTGTGTGGTTAGCGGATCATGTGCAACTTTGCTAGTAGGGAGTTCGCCTCTTAAATTTTTTCCTTCAGCTCCCCACGCATCTAAATCTTTTGTGAGGAGATACATTGAAAGGGTAAGTCTGGCTCCATGAATGTCCCATCTGTATAGCTGCAAAGTATCCTGATTTAGAAGGGTCCTGGGCTCTGGCTCTGTTTACTTTTTTTTTTTTTTTTAGACAGAGTCTCACCATGTTGCCCAGGCTGGAGTGCAGTGGCACAATCATGGCTCACTGCAGCCTTGACCTCCTGGGCTTGAGTGATCTTGCTGCCTCAGCCTCCTGAGTAGCTGGGACTACAAGTATGTACCACCATGCCCAGACATTTTTTTTTCATTTTTATTTTCTGTAGAGACAAGGTCTTGCTATGTTGCCCATGGTGGTCTTGAACTCTTGGGCTTAAGCCATCCACCTGCTATGGTCTCCCAAATTGCTGGATTTACAGGCACAAGCCACCACACCTGGCTTAGTAGGGAGTTCACTTAAATTGTAATATATGCCAGTATTCCTTGGCTCTGACACCCAACCAATGGTCTCTATAGTTCTGTGTCAACTGCTACTGAAGTGGAAAGAGCACTAGTCTTAGAGTAAGGGGCTTAGTTTGTCCTGGCCCACACATTCTAGTGCGATCATCTGGGAAGAGTTCACTTTTTAAAGCCTTAACTTATTTATTTGTAAAACTGAGTAAACGAAATAAATGCCCTTGTAAACCATATAGCCTATGATCTGCTATACAAAAATAAAATTTATATATGTATGAACAAAGACTGACATTGAATTTTGAAAAATAGATTTCTCTACTGGGTATTAGGCTGATGGACATTTTTCTTTTTCTTTCTTTTAATTTATATATATTTAGAGGGTACAGTGAAGTTTTGTTACATGGATATATTGTATAGTGGGGAAGCCTGGGCTCTTAGTGTAGCCATCACCTGAATAGTGTACATTTTACCGCTTAAGTAATTTCCCATCCTTTAGCCCCCTCCCACCCTCCTACCCTTCTGAGTCTCCATTGTTATTTCTCTGATGTTGTAAAATTATTTTTTCATTGAACATATATATATATATATATATTTGCGTGCATGTGTGCAGTAAAAAGGACTTGGAGATTTTCAGGAAATACCCAGCCTAGTTTTGTTTTCTCCAGAGATAAAAGGCAAAGGAGAAACCTGAACTGAAGTGAGAGAAAAGTGCTAGGGCAAAGGAAGCTGAACTTCTAAAGAAAAATTTGTCTCATGGTCTCTTCCCCCCATCATCATTGGACATCTCAGTAGTTTGATTCCACTTGGGTACATGTGACTGGACCAGATGCCCTCTTGAAATGCCCCAGACCTAGGATCCCAGAACACTGCCCCAACAGTGTTTACAAAGTCTATTAAACAGAATCCTGTATGCTCTGTGATAGCACTTCAGGGGCCACCATATGTGTTGAGGGGATGAGGAGTTAGAGGGTGCCTCTCTGCCCTCATAGCCACCCCAATCGATTTGTCTCTCCTTTTATCTGTTTAATAATACTTGATTTGTGTAGTAGGATTTCATTGAAGCAAGGATTCCATGACTAAATCCCTTTCTAAAACTACAACTTTAATGGCCAGAAGAAATAAAAATCTCTATCCCTATTCTCCACTCTCTTCATTTTTGATCCTCCAGGAAATCTCCCTCCTACTCTTCATCTGGCTGCTGCAGCTAGTAACACATTTTAAAATAAAAGGCTAACTTTTTTGGGGATCCAGAACTTGATACATAAAGAAACAGAATAGAAAGATTCCAGATGGAGGAAGGGCAGAAGCCTCAACCTTCTGGCTCAGCCATTACTTGGTTGACTGAGGTAGCAGTGTTTGACTTTGAGAAACACACATCCCTAATCTGTGTCCAGTTTCCTCCTGTGTAGGAGGATATGGGGCTTGGACCTGTTGTTTTTGCAGATCCCCCCCGTTACATATGTCTGTATGCCTCCGGGTTTCTCTCACCAACCTTGCTGAGCAGAGGTGCTCTGGGTCTGACAGGTCTTCTGACTTCTGAGCTGGGCTGCCTGCCATAGGGCACTGCTGCTGGAAGGAGACTTGGTTCCTGCAGCTGGAGTTGAGAGGCCTCCAGACAGACCCCAGGAAAAGTGGACTTTGCTTTCCAGTGAGTGATATGACCAGAGACAAGTACAGACAGGCAGCGACTTAAAGCCAAAGTGTTCAGGTATCTGCTGGCACAGGCATGGGTCTTTTTGGAGATGGCTGTCTTAAGACTTAGAATTTTCTCTTGTTTTATCACCTTTTACTCCCTCAGTCCTGAGGAAAACTCCTGATCAGTTTGTGTGATTTCTATTTATTCTTTCGTCAAATCCCTGGGATCTTGTGCCAGGCAGACCCTGGTGTGGGGTGGTAAGAAGGGGCCCCAGAGAGTCAGGAATTGCTCAGTGCTCATGGATGAGGTGGCATTAGCCAGAGCAAAGGGGCCTCTGGTCCCGGGACAGAGTGGCTACTGACATGGCTGTTACCAAGAGAAGTCTGGCTAAGGACACAGGAGTGTAGAAAGCTCCTAGCCACAAATTCTACTAATTAAGAATCAAGGGATCAAGAAGCTCTGGAAAGGATTAGTCTTGTCTCTGATAGCTCTGATTCTGAACATGAGTTTGTATATGCCCATGCACACCTATACCTAGGTAAACACAGTTGAAAAGTTTCATTACTCCTATGATGCCATTTACTTTTTAACTACTCTTGCTTCTCCAACTCTCAGCTTGGGCTCTTACCTCCTATTTCACAGAGATAATCTTCCTTTCCCTACTTTAGTTTTATTATATCTCCCTCTATATGTTGGGCTTTACCACTGTTATTGCTCAAGTTTTTCCTATTTGAAAATGAAGTGGGCACAATTAGTAGCCCTTCCTCCTCTGGAGAGAGTTGGCTTCCCTCAAACCAGCCTTAGTTGTCCTGGGAATGGCAGGGAAATACCAGCTGTGCTAAAGAAACATGGTGAGTACAGACACAAGAAAGATGAAACCAAAACTTTGGCTTACCTCTGTAAACTGGGAATTACTCTTCTGTAACAGGACTAAAGGGAAGCTAAGCATTTGGAGTATAAAAGAAAGCCTAGGCCAGGCACAGTGGCTCACATCTATAATTCCAGCACCTTTGGAGGCCAAGGCGGGCAGATCACCTGAGGTCAGGAGTTCGAGACCAGCCTGGCCAACGTGGTGAAACCCCATATCTACTAAAAATACAAAAATTAGCCAGGTGGGTGGCAGGTGCCAGTAATCCCAGCTACTCAGGAGGCTGAGGCAGGAGACTCACTTGAACCCGGGAGGCAGAGGTTGCAGTGAGCCAAGATCGGGTCGTTGCACTCCAGCCTGGGTGACAGAGTGGGACCCTGTCTCAAAAATAAATGCATAAAAATAAAAATAAAGGCTATCCAACTCCAGGCTGTTTGATCCCCCAACTACTTCCTTGTCTTTGCTTCTCTTTATAGCCAGTTTTTTTTTTTTTTTTTTTTTTTTTTGGAAGGATAGTCTATGCCACAATCTCCTCCTTCACTTCTCAGTCCATTGTCATCTCTTTTTTTCTGCTACCTCTATCACCCCTAGGGACAATTCACTTACTATATTCAGAACACCAAGATATACATAAAGACTACAGTTGATTGGTGAGCATTGCTGGACTCAGGTGGAGAAGGCTTTGCCTTGGCCCCCAGAAGAGCAGATGCCCCGGTCAATTCTGGAGTAGGAAGAAAAGATTTGGGATACTTTATGATTCCCTGTGATATGGTTTAGATGTTTTGTCTTCTCCAAATCTGAGGTTGAAATGTGACCTCCAGTGCTGGAAGTGGGCCTAGAAGGAGTTGTTTGGGTCATGGGGGCAGATTCCTTATGAATATCTTGGTGCTATCCTGGCAGTACTGAGTGAGTTCTCATTCTACGAGTTCACATAAGATCTGGTTGTTTAAAAGAGCCTGACATCTCCTTTCTTTCTCTCTTGCTCACTTTCACCACGTGACACACTGGCTCCCCTTCACCTTCCACCATCATTGTATGCCTTCTGAGACCCTCCTAGAAGGAGATACCTGTTCCGTGCTTCAGGTACAGCCTGCAGAACCATGAGCCAAATAAACTTATTTTCTTCTAAATTACCCAGTCTCAGATATTTCTTTGTAGCCATGCAAATGAATGAACACAGCCAGAAATGGAAGTTATCTCACCAAAATTACCTGTTGGCAATAAGATCTGTGTTGGATGAAGGAGAAGTAGAGGCAGCTCAGAGTTGAAGAGAGGTTATAGGGCTTACAGAAGCGTTAAGTTGAATGTGTCCATCAACTTAGGCCAAGTTATGCTGCAGTAACATGTGACCCAGAATTTCAATGGCTAACAACAATAAAGATTTAATTATCATGCTATATGTCATTGAGACAGCTGTGGCTTTGTTACTACATGGTCTTTACCTCAGGACCTAGACTTAGAGAGCAGCCTTTAAACTGGGATATGGCTGGTGTTTGGACTTATGAAAAGAGAGGAATGGTGAACTATAAACTGGTTTTTAAAACTTGTGCTCAGAAGCGATACCTGTGACTTTTTCCAAAGTAAGACACATGGCCACATTTGAGTCAATCATCCTCTTACAGAGATAAATCATCCTCTTACAGGGAGGTACGTTGAGATTACATGGTAAAACCTGAGATCAATGGGGTAGGGAGAAAGCATAATTCTTCCCCAGGAGGGTTAGCAAATATTTTGAACAGTAATATAATCTTCCATGTTATTAATGAAATTATTGGTCAGCAAGGAGGTCAGAACCTACTTTCCACTTTCTGTTCCCTCTCCTTCTCCAGAGAAATGCAAATAAACTGCTTTTGACTGAGAAATAGAACAAGAGTGACACTTGACAGTTTATCTGTCACAGGCCATAGCAGTGAATAGTCAGGCTTCAGGGTACCTTGAAGAGATGAACAAAACTCTGGATCATACAGTCCCCAATGTGAAATATAGCCTCCTTGATTTATTTGCTTCTTGCTAGGATACCTTCCCAATAGAAGTTTTCAAATAAGGTGGCAGTTTGGTAAATTTTCTGAGGTTTTCTATCATTTAAAATATTGGGCCCTAACTTTTAAGAGAGTGTCACTGGATACATATTCATAGTTTTAAATTTATTTTCTTCAAGGCTTTGGAAATTTTACATTACTCTCTGT